GTGGGAATGGGCCATGGGCCACTGGCACTAGTCTCCTGGTATTGTGTCACCCTTGCTTCTCTTAGTTCTTCCAAGTCCTTCTCACAGACTTAAATTATCCATCTGTTCCCTGCCAGGCCCCTAACTGATAGAATACTTCTCTTTTCCTTCACCATATAACACAATCAGGTGATAAGCCATTGAATCTTTATTTTCAAGAAGATCTTCCTCCTAATTTCTAGTCTTATTACCATCACCAAAATCCTTGTCCTCACACCTTTTCTGAACTTGGGTTACTGTCTCTCACTTAGGATCCTAACATCCTTCTTGTCAACCTCTGCCATATAATATTTGGATAATAATCTTCCTGAAAGCTTCCCAAAGCTGTGGCTTTTCTGTGCACAAAACCCAGAAATGGCTGTAATATCAGAAAAACAGGCTAATTTTCCATCAGAAATTTGCCTTTTCATGACGCCATCATTCCAGAGCTTTGTTTTACTTAATGGCTAACTCAACTTCAGACTAAACTGCATTCACTGAGACCCAACAACCAGTTTCTCATGTTGCTTTATTCAGTCCTCAGAAGAACTCTACACATTGGCATTTTGCTACTCACATTTTACACATGATAAAATTCATTTGCAGTGATGAGCTCTTTTCTGTTCAAGATCACAGAGATAGGGCATGATAGATCTTGAACTTGAACTCAGGAATCACTACCCCAAAGCTCAGATTCTTCCTGTTTCAGTGTGGTGTCTGCTTATCAAGTGATACCTTTGTGGACTTATATGACCCTGAATACTGTCTTCAACAAAACAAAATCTGCTCCCAAAAAGCAGCTGTTAACATGCCAATCCTTGCTAAAGAGCAACCAAGGGCCAGAGAGCAGGAGGAAGTCTACTAAATGAGGGAGGATGGTAAATGGTACCATTGTTCATGGTGTACATGATGTTCACCTAACTTGGAGGACGAGCTGACATAGGATTGTGCAACAACAGGAAACCCTGAGTTTTCTGAAGCACTGAGAGATTCTGATCCAAGTGAGGAACATGGCATTTTATGGCATACAGAATTGATCCTGGTGCTCAGAACCCCTGGCACAGTGGGGTCAGCTCAATTTCCTTTGGCTTTTGAACTCCTAGTGCCAGCATGGTAATTGGAGACACTGATAGGGAACAATTAAAGATTTAATGTACTCGAAGAGTATTAGATGGGTGGTGCTCCACACCCCAGACTGTGAGAGCAAGCAGTCTGGATTCTACTCCTTCCCCACTCTGTGGGTACAGAAAAACAGCCAGTGCACAAAGCAGAAGAAACAGCTCAGGACAAGTCACTGTTAGGGGATGCCTGCCACAGCTCGCAGGGTGCTTGCCGTCAGGTGGGAGAGGGCCTTCAACACAGTGACCGCACAGATGCACATGTAATGACAGAGACGAGGCTCTGAAGGGACAGGGCTAAGGTGCCCTGGAAGCATACCCTTAGGGGGATGTTAGCTTGGTTGGGTGGCCGGGGAGGACTTCTGCAGCTCTAAGGGTGAGCAGGATCTGGATGAGCACATGGGTGGGCAGAGGCACTGGTGCTGGTTGGGAGAGGGCACTTCAGGGAGAAGGAACAATGCAGGACAGGATGGCAGGAGCAAGTCCTTGGCAGGAATGGGAGGAGGCAGATGTTATGGGGATACAGAGAATGGTGCAAAACAGATGAGGTAAAGATGGTAAGAAGGCCAGGTCCAGGCCACATGGAACCCTACAGAGTATCAGGCAGAGGGTAGATGTGTGGGAATGACAAGAGAGGGCTGAAGTGGATGACAGGAAGCCAGGCAGGGGCTGCCTCAGTAGGTCAGGACAAAAGGCAGATCTTTGGAATTAGGCTGGGAGTGGGCAAGGGAGGAAAGGCTGGTTGGTGGCGGCACCCCCACAGAAGCCAAGGTGGGAGAGAGCAATCTGTTTCCCTTTCTTTCCTCCGAAGTCCTTCAGCCAAGGTTGGAGCCACTGGGAATGAGCCCAGGCTTTCCCAAGCCCTGGGTGTCCTCCCCATATCTTTGGCATCCTGTTCTCTCCTCAGGGAACCTCCTCACTCACACTCTGCATTCTACTCAGGTCTGGCCACTCCCCAGCACTGCCCCGCCCCCCATATTCCAAATTATGCATGCTCTCTAGAGTGCTGGTTTCTTGGGATGCTAATGGTCAGCTAGACTTCAGAAGACAAGATTCTGATGAAACTAAAATTCATATGAGGAGTCACTGACTGAGCAAGCTTCTGTTTCTGTCATCTGAGAAATGGGTGTCTTGTTTGGAAAAGCAATTTCATTTGTTTACAAAGCATTTCCTCATAATCCACTTTAATCAGGTAAGCATCTCAAACATCAAGTATGCATCTCAATTCACAATGAAGGTGTGACATCTAAGAGAGCCAGTGACCTCCTTGCTAATATCTTAAAGTCAACCATGACAGTGGCTACCACCATGAGACAGTGAGAACCTGGCCACCCCCATCACTGATGTGATACCAGCTATGTCCATAGCTAAGGGACTACTAGCTGTATTTTACATAAAACCTTACCTTTTGGTGTCATTCCATCCCCATTTTTTGCAGATGGGACAATCCTGCTGAAGACCACACAGCTACCATCTCACTGCTATCAAAGATAAATCCTCAGGCTACTCTTCTCCAAATGAAAAGTATTAGGAATTCATTAATAAGCTTGTACTTTGCCCCCACTTCAGTGTTGACATTTGAACCACTGATTAGGCATTTTATTCACTGTCAAGTATGTTGCACTCCAGGTACCTTTTTAAATCAAACAATTACCTGCATGACTTAAAATTTCTAAACACTGGCAACAAAGTCCAACCTAGCAGAATGAAGGAATAATACCCATCTCACAGCTTAGACAGGAGAGTGAGGTGTGGTACAGCAGGGAAAGTGCTTAGCTCTGAGCCAGCAGGACAGCGGGGACTCCGTAAGCAGAAGTGAAAGCAAAACTGAGACATGAGGGTTAAGCTAAGAATCTCACATCTCAAAGGGGAACATTCTGCTTAGAATAAGTCACCCAGGACCTCCCGCCAATGCCCTTATGGCCCTGTTACCCCTTCACCCCATGAGGTCTGATTCTACTCTCTACTTGTAGACGCTCTGAGTTGGTTGTAATGGTGAGGCCTGAACGTGCATCTCCCCTCCTGTGTCCTGGGGAACTCATTTAGAGAAGCGCTTCCCCTTACTGAGAACTGGGTTCCTGTGGCTGCCCTAGCCATCTACTCTCTTTATTTCCTTCTACCTCTGCAAAATAAACACACTGTTCCCACTTCACAAACATATAGGAGGCTAGAGTGGAATTTGTATCCATCTTTTTCTTCCGTGGTATTCTATCAGTCATTATTTCTTAAATGAAAGGTGGGAGGGTGGGTTTCTATTTCCTTCTTTCAGGCATACTCAGTGCTGAAAAGAGGACTAGAGTTCCTTAGGATTCCAGGGAGAGTAAAGGGCAGAGTCAGCTGCTTGTTGGTTTTCTCAGTTCCTTGAAAAATAGATGAGCCATATTTCTCTGCTGTCATTTAGTGGGCAAGAGCTCCCATAAACACATTTTTTTCCTAGAAGTAGGAGAAGTGACAGGTAATCTCCACCTTGACTTGTCTGAAAGCATGCAGATGCAAACATGTGGCCCATTAGGTGATGGGGTCGACCTGAGCCTGGTATGAAGCCAAAACACTGTTCTGTCAAAATCAAGAGGCAAAATTCTTTGGCTGCAAGAGGCAGACAGAGAGGCCAACCACACTCGCTTGCTTAGCATAGATATGTAATACACAAAGGAAGACAAGGAGATGACTCATACAAATACATAGTAAATAAATATATTTCATTTCCATCTCAGTGGCTTTTGCTTTGTTTTCCTCTTCTCTATGCCAACGACCTTGCAATGGAGGGAGGGTGAGGAAACAGTGGGTTTTGGCTGGACACAGCCTCAATAAGGCACTGATTTTTCTGGCCTTGCTGCTCAGATCTGTTTTAGAAAAAGAAAAAAAACTTGCAGCTTTTAGATGAGAAAAGTCTCTAATTCAACCCTTTTGGTCTTAGAGATGAGCAATGTGAAATGCAGAGAGGGGGAGTGTTAACCGAGTCATAGACCCAGGGAAGTGAGTGTGTGTAGGGGTTCAGCAACCCCCACCTGATGCTGGGATGACCTGCACAAGCTAAGCTGGCAACAGAGCAGGAGAGGGAGACTTGGACCCAGATGTGCTCTCCCAGGCCACAGCACCCCAGCTGGTGCCCATGGCCAAAGGGACTATACTGAAGAGAGACAGACTCTGCCTCCTTGTGTTGCTGACTGCATTTCTCTGTAGCTGAGGCCCAGCCCAGCAGCAAAATGTCTGGGCCTGGCCCTGCAAAGCAGCTGCTGCTGGCATGTCAGAGCTGTGCCCAAAAGACTCCCCTTTTCTCCCCACCTCGGAGCTGCCAGGAGCCTGCAGGGACGCAGAGAGATGAACCTAGCCCATCGGGCTGAGGGCCACAGGAGCTGGATCTTTCACAATTCCAGACCTGAAGGTGGCTTCGTGGGGATTTGTTGATCAAATTGCTCTTTCCTATCCCACTGCCTGCTCACGCCCACAGCCCACCCACCACCCACGGACCAGCTTCCTGCTCTTTGCAGCTTCGGGACAAGTAGGGCCCTCCATGGGCTTCCAGATGTGTGCAAAAAGGACTCCTCAGAGCCCCCGTAGGCAGACAATGGTCACACTACAGCTTCCTAGGCCTTTCCAGACGCTGCTAGAAGGAGACACGTAACCTCCCCAGTACAGGCAACTGGCGCCTCGGATAAAATATTAGCAAAATTATCATGAAAAGCTAGACACAACAGCTCTGTGTCTGCCAAGGCGCAGAGAAAGCCGCAAGAGTCTGGGGGGTCAGGTGTCCACGCAGATGCCAAGCTTCCTGCCTCCTTCCAGGCAGCCCCGGCGGCGCAGGCTCCTGCACCACCCGCCCCCACCCTGTTCCCATGGCAAAGGAGAGGAGGATCCACTTACTGCTCGTGTTCATGGTGGTGCCTGTGCCCGGGGTCTTTCATTCACCACGGTCGCTTTTCAAATCTTGCGTTCTTCGAACCTCACTCATCACCTGGGGGGTGAAAAGGCAGTGCAGCGCCCGCTTCTATCCTCAGGTGCGCTTTCCCTCTGCTGTCCCCTGTCCGTCTGGGCTGGAGCCACTGGCCTTGAAGGCGAGTGGACTAATAGGCGCAGGTGAGCGCGAAAGGGAGGAGGCGGCGGCGGCGGGGAGGACACCGGCGCCCCGGACCCCTGCTCCTGGGATCCGAATCCCGGGCAGAAGCCGGGCTGGCAGCGCTTGCTCTCGCGCAGCCGGGACTATTCCAGCCCAGAGGCTCAGGAGCCCAAAGGGGGTGTGGACCACGGGAGGCAGGGCGGGGGCAGCGCGTCCCCGCCCGGCCTCCAGCAGCCGCGACCCGCCCAGGGACCCACCTCTCGGCCAGCGTCGGGAGCCCGAGGCCCCTGCCCCGGCCCCTGCGACCGGCTCATGAATCCTGGTCCTGGTCTGGGGTCTCGAATTCCAGGGCGAGCAAAGCGCAATAGGAGAGCTCGCCATCCATGATGCGGGCTCGCGGGTTGGCAGCACGGGGGGCGCGGCCGCTTGCTGCTGCCACCTGCTGGACGCGCCAGCGCGTGTCCGAGGCCCCGCCCCGCCGAGCTTCTGCCTAGCTGGGTCCTGGGAGGTGACGGGGATGGCTGAGAGCCACGGATCCTGGGCCCCAAGGAGGTTCTTGCGCACTTGTATTCCTGTCCTCCGTACTGGGTCAAAGGGCTGGACCATGATAGGAAAAGAAAGTTATCATTGGAACTTTGCAGGAAGATAGTTCCCACCCTAGCCCTGGTCTGGAGCAGGTCACTGCTCTCTCTGTGCCCAGCTGGATAAGCCAATGAGATAGTGGGGATTCCTGTCACCCCCTGACTTCAGTCTCCACTTGCATCACTTACTCTCTATGTCCCTTGCCTCGGATGCACGTGTTTATTACCTATCTCCCCCTGTACAATGTCAGCTCCAAGAAAGAATGGGCCTTACAGTAGGGTTTACCTCACTCCCACTCCAGCCCAGCTCCCAATATTTGGAACAGTGCTTGGAACACAGTAGTTATCAGTAAATATTTATTGACAGAATGACCCAGGTCTTTTTCAAATCTAATATCGCACAACACCAAGAGTAGAATGTCTCAGCACCCCCAGCCTGAAATTCTTCCCTGTATTGTATGAGAGCAGTAGGTGTCTGGCCTCTGGACTCAATCTCACAATTTTACCCTAGATGTTCATATGAAAAGCTAATTCCTTTTTTTTTAAAGACTTATTTATTTATTTGAAAGCCAGTTACACAGAGAGAGGAGAGGCACTCCCCAGTTGGCTGCAATGGTCAGAGCTACACTGATCCAAAGGCAGGAGCCAGGAGCTTCTTCCGGGTTTCCCATGTGGGTGCAGGGGCCTGAGGACTTGGACCATCTTCCACTGTTTTCCCAGGCCATAGCAGAGAGCTGGATTGGAAGTGGAGCAGCTGGAACTCGAACCAGTGCCCATATAGGATGCTGGCACTGCAGGCGGTGGCTTTACCTGCTATGCCACAGCACTGGCCCCAACAGCTAAATCTTTTTTTTTTTTTTTGGAGGAGGGAGATAATTAATTCTTATAGGTGTACAGTACAGATATTTGCATTCCAGATATTTGGGTCATGGTTGATTCTGTAGGGTGGAGCGACCTTCTGAACCTAGTTCATGATCACTGATGCATGACTTCAGAGTGTTGAGCCAAGACTGAGAGGATAGTAAATCCTGTCTATAGAGTGACTGCAGTTAGATAGAACATGTGTAGAATAAAAAAGATGTGAGCACTCAAACCGCTGACTTCCAGACAAGGAGACAGTGGGCCAGAGCATCTGAGATAGCTTCCCAAGCTCACAGCGTCTTGTCAGAGCTGGACCAGAGCTCCTCACTTCTAGCATGGTTCTCTGTGAGAGTGACTTGGGGTACTAGAGTCTGTCATGTCAGGGTAAGGTTTGGTAGCCACCCTTTAAAATGGGGGAAATAGGACCTTTTAGATAAATCCAATGTTTCTACCTTGCACAGGGTGGAAAAAATTGATGTGGCTCTGATCCCAAGATATGATAGTGATGAAAGAATCTTTAGGTAATTCGAAGAATCAGTGGATTGGAAACGCATTTTGATTGCGTATTAGGATTTCTTTCAAATGACATGGAGTAAAAGTAGCCTTAACCTCTGCCAGAGAGTTTCAATGTTTTGTGCATATAACAAGCACCCAGGATTCCTGCATGATGCAGATCCCCAGGTACCAGATTCCCTCACTCGGTATTTCCAGCAAATATCCCAGGTGATTCACAGTCAACATATTTCCATTGAAAAGGGCAGAAACCTTGGACAGCTTGAAAATGCAAGTGGTTGATAAATGTTTAAATTCCAAAGATCTCTTTGCAGAGTCCTTACAATTTTGGATTGAGATTCCTTATTTAGCTCTTCAGTTGCAGATTACTAGAGTCTGTTGATCACAAAAAAGATACTTTTCTGAGAGAAAACTCAGGTACATTAGATATATAAAACAGGATTGTTCCAGGGATATATTTAGTTAAAAGAAAATTTCAGGTTATAGAACACAGTCAAATAAAAACATGACATTAATTTATTAATCCATTCACTCACAATTTTGTATTGGGTGTTGATCTGTTGGACTTTTCCACAGAGAGGCAGTCATGAAAACACGTCGCAGAATATTCCAGCTATAGGGAGTTTAAATGACAAGTTCTTCTAGTCTAGAGTTATTTTTAATAATACATCCAATTGAATATTGATTAATTTTGTTCTTAGACAGTATCACTGAGACTTGGCCCACTTTGAAAGACCCAAATAGTTTCTTTTGGAGGGAACTAATCTTATTTCCCTTGCATGATTGTAAGGATAGGAAGAAAAGGGTTAAGGGAGTCTGGAAAAACTATCCCCGTGAGGATGTCCACAACAATCGAAGGCAGCTGGGGAAAGACGCAGGAGGAAGCTGGGGGTGGGAGTCTCTGTGGACTTGGCTGTGAAAGTCATCAGGAGGGCAGCATTTTGGCCCCATCCTTGCCAGAGCATTGAACTGAAAACCACAGAGCCCAGGGACCCTTTGTTTGGAAGTCTGTTTTGAACGTTCAGACCCCAGAATGGAGATAAACAAGTCCCACTCGGAAACAGGCGAATGCTCCTGGGTGTTGGAAAGCCATGTGGCAGAACCATTGGGAGACTAATTTTCCACTTCTTCAAGGGTAAAGAGGAATACATTAGGGGCCCTCTTCTCCCACAGCCATGGCTTCACCCTCCCAGGCTGCTGGGATTTCCCCACTAAAATTTTCCTCTCCATCGGGAAATCCCATCTTTCCTGACTTCCCATCCCTACCCAGGGTCAGCTAGAGCCCTTCTTTGCTGCCCTCTTGGCTGTTACTGAGCAATGAACAATGCAAGCCTGAACCCTTAACTTTTCTCTCCAGTTGCTTGTTCCTTCTTCCAACTTGCTGCATCCTATACTTTTGCCCTGCCAGGTCAGCCTACTCCTGCTGGGTCCGCCCAGTGCTGCCCCTGTCTGTTGGTGAATAAAGCTCATACAACCTCGTCTTGAATGCACAACGCTTCTAGAGATGCTCCTTGACTTATGATGGGGTCTGTCCCCATAAACTCACCACCAGGTGATGATATCCTGTGTTGAAAGTGCTCTTAATACACCAAACCCACTGAACACTGTAGTTTAGCCTAACCTAACTTCAATGTAGTCAGAGCACTTACATTAGCCTATATTTGGGCAAAATTTCCTAACATAGCCCATTTTTATAATAAAAGTGTTGAATGTCTTGTGGGTGATTGGGAGCTGCCATCCAACATTGTGAGAGAGTATACTGTATTACTGGCCTAAGGAAGACAAATTTGAAGTATGGATTCTACTGAATTCATATCACTTTCACATCATTATGAAGTCAAAAAATTAAGTTGAACCATCACAAGTTGGCTACCATCTGTAGTCTGTAAGGTGTGGGAATACAGAAAGGGGTGCTTGTGATTTCGTAGATTCCAGTTGCTGTTCCTGGACTGTTTGAGTCTCTCTCCAAGAGTATGTACTTTTATTATTATTAAAGATTTTTATTTATTTTATTTGAAAGGCAGGGTTACAGAGAGAGAGAAAGAGAAGAAGAGGAAGAAGAGGAGGGGGAGAGAGAGATAGAGAGATCTTCCATCTGCTGGTTGACTCCCCAAATGTTCGCAACGGTCAAGCTGGGCCAGATCAAAACCAAGAGCCAGGAGATTCTTCCGGGACTCCCACATGGGTGCAGAAGCCCAAGTACTTGGGTCGTCTTCTGCTGCTGCTGCTTTCTCAGGCACATTAGCAGGGAGCAGAATTAGAAGTAGAGCCGCCAGGAATCCAACTGGTGCCCATATGGGATGCTGACATTGCAGGTTGTGCTTTAACGTACTACGCCACAGTGCCAGCCCCTATTTTTATTTTTGAAAAGTAAATGTAGTTGTTAACAGTGTGTGGTAGATCTATGTATGATAGTAGGAAAGGATTTTCACTGTATGTGATTAAATAAAAAATTTTCAGGAAAGTATGCATAATATGTTTTTTAGAATAATGTATGTATATAGCACATAAGAGAAATGAGTAGAACTTATGGAATACACATAATACAGTATGTAATATAAAATAGTTAAATCAATTTTTCCACTCTCAGAATCCCACATATGTAACATATGTATATGATGCATATATATCATAATAATGCATATAGTATCCCCTCTCCTGTGTCTCCCTTGAATGAAGCTTGTCATTTCCTTAATATTCCCTCAAGCTTTGTCCTTCCTTGGAGCGCCTCTGGCACTGATAGGCAGGCTCAGTCACTCATTGCTCTGCTCATCCCTCTTTTGCTCTCTGGGCTGAGAAATCTCCCTGACCTTCCATGGAGCTTGTGTGTCTTGGGCACTTTGCATGCACTATTTTCTACACCTGGATTGCTCTAAAGCTGCAGCATCCTCATCCTCTTGACCTAACTTAGTTGTCATTCTGGAGAAAGGCCTTTCATGAAGTTCCCCAGACAGTGTCTTCAGTCAGTGGGCAGACTACAAGCTTCTCTGACAACATGGACTTACTCATCTCTTCTCAGAGATGCCCTATCCCCAGGTTTTGTTCTTTTGCTTCTTTGTTCTTTTGGATCCGTAAGCCCTGAAGCCCATCTCTGAACAGTAAATCTTTTAGACTTTGCTGAAGACGCACACTTCTCCTAGTTATCAAGGAGTACAAATGGGTCTCCACAGTCACATAGCAAGGAAGGTAGATGTCGCCTTGCACAAGAGAACAGACTTAGGAATCAGAACCTCTGGGTTTTATACTTGTCCTCACTTCCTAACTATGTGACCCTTGG